TGAGCTGTTCTTTCGTCTTTAGAGTCAGCTGATGGTGTTTTGATAAACAGCTTGTTTTTTTTCCTCTTTTCTGACTCATCAGTTTCATTTTGGACCTTGGCCTTTGGTAGGGCTCCTTTCTGCCATTTCTTACTTACAGCCTTGTTTGGTGGTTCATGTCAAATTCCACCACCAACATTTGTGTTCTCTGATGTTGGGGAAAGATAGGAGTAGGGTTAGTGAAGGATGTGCTTTATCTGCTGTGGCTAGCAAGAAAAATTCTTGGGAGCTCTTACATGCTGGAACAAATTGTAAAGGGCAGGCTTTACCCTCTGCAGTTACAGGGGTATATTATTTAGAGAAGCTTCACTGACTTCAGTAAGTGCTGCGTGCTACATTAATAACGTAGCATGAATTCCCTGTAATTATCTATCAGGAAACCCAGAATTATGTGAGATTTGCCTCCATGATCTCTTCTTTATACTACTAATCTCCCAGGTTGACAGGCACCAAATCCTTTGTTGTTGTTTAATTTGATGTTAAATGCTATTTATTTTCAGCAAAGTACTTGAGTTTTGTCAAATCAGCATTTTTCTGACTGACAATTAGATATTCCATTGGATTATCTGAAACCAGCTCTTGTGTTTTATCTCCCTCCTTGCCAGCCATGCACAGTTATGACACACTTTCCCTGAAACTCATCTCTGTTCTTATCAGTTTCTGGCAGATCATGGAAGGATGACGTTGCCTTCTGCCTGGTATTGACTTATCAAAATGCCACACTATGTTTACAGACTGTGAGATTGGAAAATAATATTTTATTTATTTATTTATTTATTTCCTTTTAAGAACATTAAACTAACCTTCCAGTTAAAAGATGACTTTAGGAGGATTTGATCTTTCTCTTTTTTTAAAGAAAAGAAAAGATCAGTTTTACTGTTATTTTTCTCCAACATTTTATCCAGGGAATTGTGTCAAAGGCAGTTGCCATAATCAGAGAGCTTGGCATCACTGTGGTCTTTTATATATAAAGTTAAAATGTGGCTATCGATCACCCTGCCCTTCTTACCTTCCCTAGCAATGTGAAGAAAAAGAAGAAATGTAGGATTTGTGTGGCTACATGCTGTGCTAAAAGAATTCTACTTCTCAGGGAACTTGTAAGCTACCTGGTCCAGTATGTGCTTTTATGCTCATTTGCTACATCCATTTACTTAATCTAATCACATCAATGTGAAATGATCTTCTTTTAAAATGGGCTTTTAAAAGCTTAAAAACGATGTATATATTCGCTACTATGGTCCTTAGCAGGTGACAATCAGAATACGGTCCACTCACTGTAATGCAACTATGCAAATATATATCTCTTGAGGATGCATGCAGTATACCATGGTTTATTAAACAACAACAAAATAACTAAAGGATAAAACTATTCAGAAAAAACCTGCAAGAGATATAGGGAACAATCTGAGGGTTCCTACTCTGTACACCTTTAGGTGTGCAGTTGGGGCAAGAGGAGTCTAGGTAGATCACAGAAGTAAGAATTTTAAGATAATCTATAGGCTGGGTTTCCTCCTTTGTCAACAAGAGTTTTCAATTCTCAACATATCTCACTCTCCGGGGACAGGACCCCAGACCAACTTTAGCTGTTTTATCAGAAAAGGCTACCTGTGTGCTGCAAAATTCTACTAGACAAAGAATTTTGATCTGGAGTAGAAGAGTAATCATGAAACCTAAAAGGAGATAGAAAAATATAGACATAAAAGATAAGACAACAGTGACAAACAGTAATAAACTTCCCAATGAAAAATATTGAAGCTAATTTAGATTTATTTTTTTTCCACATTACTGTCTAATACAGTGGTTCTCAACCAGAGGGCTGTGGCACCCCAGTATTGTCCCCAACGGACAGTGTGAGTTCGTGCCCGGTGCGCTATTGCCAATGAACACACAGGGGTGGAGGATCCAACTTAATCTTTATTGTTTCCAGTCTGCGCAGAGAGGGGTGCTTGGCAATTGTTTGCAAAGCAAGCACCACCAGTTTCTACCTTTGGGTACCTTTTATACATATGTTTGCAAGTGTATCGCTCAGTGATTGGTTACAAGCCACTGACATAAGACGTTCTCTACTGAGCATGTCTCTATACCTATGTTTTAGCCATGTATTTCATTTACATACATATATGTTTCATTAACATACTTTTGCCCTGCCCAGGGGTGTGATTTTTAGCATTATAATGAGACCTTTTTCTGAACTTCTTGCTATCTTACAAGTGTCAGGGAGACACTATCCTGCTGGTGTTAGGGAGGCATTCCAGGAATCCTCCGCATCCCACACGCTGTGCTCTGCAAGCATCTCTTAACACATACATACCACACCCCTCCCAGCATCAGTAAATTGCCTTAAGTATTCAGTTAGATATAGTTTGCAAAAGCTAGATATACCATAAAAAAGATTACATAAAAAGATTACATCACCAGGATGCCATGAGATCCTTTTAAGGGTGATGCTCAATATAAGCACTGTTAAGTGTGCAAACATCTACACATGATTCACAAGTAAACCCAGACATCTCAAATAGGAACTCACAGTGTCCAAAACATTCCGACTTGTTGTGGTCTTTCTAGTAATTTACAACAGAAGAATTGTGCTATTATTATTCTGTAGTAAAAAAATAAGTAAAAGTTAAGAGCTCCCATTTTCCAAGGAGTGCCTTGAGTCTAAAAAAAAGTCTGAGAATGACTGGTCTAACATAACGACAAGCAGGTTTCATTCAGTACTTTTCTTCCATCAATCTCAAAGGTGGAAAACATTGTTATTTCCATTTTACACCTGAGGAAACTGAGACAGTGAGGTAATGTGACTTCTTCATGATAACTCAGCTGATCGGGGGCAGAAACGGGAATGGAAGCGAGATGTCCCGAGTCCCAAACTGCTGCTCTGTCCACTAGGCCTTGAAGTCATCCCAGACGAGACCTTTGAATCCAGTATTGGGGAAAGGTTTGATTCATTCAGTCCATAATTGTTTTCACTGAAGCCTATTCTTTCATGCACACAAACTGTTGCTGTATAGCTGGTTGTAAATGATTCTTCCTTCTTTGAAACAGAATGTGCTTATCATGGCAAAGCACAATTCTTTTTTTTTTTTCTTTTTCACAAAAATACAGTAACGTATGCTTTGGAGAACTTTACAAATGAAATGTTCAAGACCACTACTAACCTCCATGGGTGGAGTAGCTGTTTGACAATATTTAGAAGATAGGCCTGGGAAGGGTGAAGCATAGCTTCTCTTCACTCAGTGACATGCTCTCCTTCAACAGCATTGGTGTTGTCAGGCAGCAATGCAAGGCATGATGCCCTAGGGCATTCAAGCAGCTATGGCCTTTGTGTGACCGAATTCAAGCAATGATTTTCAAACTTTCCAAGCATCTGTGCCAAAGTATCAAAGGCAGGGGCTGGCAAACTACAGCCCATGGGCCAGATCTAGCCACAAGGAGGCCTGATCTAGCCCAGGAAGGTATGATCTGGCATAGGGGATTATGCCACAGAGCTGTGTCACCCATTCCCTCCACTGTGCTTCCTTCTACCTCAGAGTCTGCTGCTCTACTGCATCTGGGCTTACCCTCAATACAGAGGGGTTAGGGATCAGAAGTGAGGGTAAATGCAGGCAGCATACCCCCCCTGCTCCAGGGAGCAGAGACTTGCATTGCAAAGGGTGGTCTGCACTGGCAAAAGGTTGCCAACTCCTAAAGGCTTAATTCTGTTGTCCTTGAAGTCAATGGGTTGTCTACCACTGATTTCAGTGGGAACAGAATCAAACTTTTTTGGCTGTGCTTGCAATAGCCTCTCTTTAATGATCAGTTTCCATGTATTTGTGCTTATTTCTAGTTACTAGGGAGCCTAAACTGTGAGACACTTGGAGCAACACATGTTCCAGTGTGGGTCAAGCCATATCAATTCATGAGAAGTCGGCACTGCACCTGTGTGAAGGCCCACTTACATCACAACATGCCTCTGCTCATGTGAATCCAGTTGTAAGACTGGGGTCTAAAGGGAACTTCAGTTCACTGTAGCTCACCAGCATTGGTACACATGCCAAAGGCCAAAACCCTTCCTTAGATGCGTACTGCAGGTTAACATCTGAAGAGGCAAGAGGTTATCAGATCAGAGCAAGTTCTTCAAGGTATGTCAAAGCACTGCTCCGTAACATTGCGTATTTCCAAAGCTATCAGCACACGGAAGACTGCAAACACAAAGTGATTGATTTATGCCAGTAAAGACCACAAAGGGTCACAGAAAGCCCGGGTGGAGCTCACAGCAACCCAGCCCCTCAGAAGCTGTTGGAGAAATCAGCCTAAAAGTGAGTCAGCAGTAATTTCCTGGCAAAAAGCCCCGAATGTAGGGGGGGGGGGGGTTGCTAATTTTCTTTCTTTTTTCTTATCTGTTTTTGGTACAAAACTCCCAGATTTGCATAACAGGGCAAGAAATAGGTTCAATTAGTTATAGGCGGCAGCCTGGGCACACACCCCCCCCCCCACAGCCCACGCACCCCGACCGCCGCACCCGCCGCTTACTCATCCTTCCAGGAATGAGGGCGGGCAGAGCCCAGCGCGCGTGGGTGTGTGTCCGTGCGTTCCACAGGTGGCGTGGGCTGAGCCGCGGGGCCCGGTGGGAGCTGTAGTTCCCTCCGTCACGGCTTTGGCTGGCTGGCGGCGGCGGCTAGGACTACAAGCCCCAGCGTGCCCCGCCCCCGGGCTGGAGGCGCTCCATAGGCTTTGGGCTTTAATCCCCACGTGGGAGTGGGCGGTTTGGGAGAGTAGGAGTGAGTTCTTGACGATGAATTTCGCTAAGTAGTTCATCCCTGTGCTGTCCAGCGCTAGCCGAGCGGGAGTCCTCCTCCCTAGCACCGGGCAGCCGCAGGAGAGCCCAGGCAGGGCTGGAGGGGAGGGCATCAGCTACTCTGCCAGTGCAGAGCAATCCGAATTACACCCCCCCCCCCCCCCACGCCTACCCACCCACGCGGTCCCCATGCACAGGGGACCCGCGGCAGCCCACCGAGCAGTCCCGTCGCGGTGCTGAGGTTCAGGCTGCTTTAGAGCCATGGGGAATGGGATGAACAAGGTAAAGCTGCTTCTTGTTATTTGTGTGTGTGATGATTCCAACCTCACTAGAAAGGGAAGGCTGAACCATTCCTTGCAAAAGATGCCTCCTTGTGTGTGTGTGTGATGATGACGATGATGATTGCAACCCCGCTTGGACCGTGCTCCCCAGCTCCCCTGCAGAAGATGCTTCCTTGTTGTGTCTGTCTTTGTCTCAGTCTCGCTCTGTGACGATGATGTTTGTAACCCTGCTATAAAAGACAGGCCACCCCCTCCCCCTTGCAAAAGATGCCTACTCCCTTCCTTGGTGGTCAACAGCACATAGGGCTGTGGCCTGCTGTGCAGGGGGAGGAGAAGGGGGTTCTGTTTAAGTCGGATTTGACTCGTTTGAAGGGCCCGAGGCGGTGGCTGATTTCCTCCCCTCCCCCGCCCCCCCCAGCCGCCAGTAGCTGCAGGATGATTTGCTTTCCGTTGGCGCCCGGCAGCTTTCCCCCTCCTCCAGGACGTGGGGTGGGGGGGAACCACATTTGCTGCGGAGGCGTGGGGCAGGGCTGTCCCAGCTGCCCCTGGCCCCACCCGTGGCTCCTGCCATTTCCTTTCCCTTGCTGTGGGCCTCCCTTGCCTCTTTTTTATTTGCATGAGAAGGTGGAAATGCCTCGTGCAGCCCCCAGCCCCTCTTCTGCCTTCACAGCCACGGATCTTCCTCAAAGCCTTCTCCAGGGAAAAGATGTGGGCATTTTTGCCTGCCTGCAGCCCCCGCCCCAGGGCCCCTAACCATTCTCCAGAGACTTGGCTTCTTTCCCCTCCCTGCCCCTGCAGGCAGTGTTGTAGCAACTAAGTTTGGCACCTGGGGCAAAGTCTGCGGTGGCAGCCTCCCCTTGCCCCATGCACACATCCAGGGGTACATGCCCCCCCCCCCCCCCCTCCTCCCCCAGGGGGCCCCCCATGCTTGCCCAGGAGTGCATGGAGCAGTGGGAGCTGCCCTTCCCCTGTCCCCCCACCTCCCCCCAAAATGAGCTGTTTGTGGATATATCCTGTGCCCCACCCTGGCTGGGTAGTGCCTGTTGGCACCCCTTTGCTTCAGCATCCAGGGTGGTTACCGCGTTCGCCCCAGCCCTTGCTATGGCACTGTCTGCAGGCTGGGTGCTGCTGCAGCCCTTGGAGAAGGCAGCTTGTTGGTGGCCAGGCTGGCCTTCCCAGTTGTAGGCCGTCAGGTTTGTTTTAAAATGGGTATATCCTATAGCAGGTGTGGGCAAAATGTAGCCTGTGGGTCAGATGCGGCCACCTGGCCATTCTGTCCGGCCCGCGGGGCCTCTAAAAAATTTAGAAAATGAATATTAATCTGCCCTGGGCTGCTGTCATGCGGCCCTTGATGGCTTGCGGAAACTCAGTAAGCAGCCCTCTGCCCAAAATAATTGCCCACCCCTGTCCTATAGGATATGTTTCCCTTTCAAGAAGTCCATTGGGCTTTTCCCAGCAAGTGCATTTCAGGATGTTGGAATCTGGCTGGCTTCAGCCAAGAGCAGATGACTGGTTTGTCCTGGGACAAAGACTGTTACCTTGTGGTCCTACAAATGTACAAGCCCAGAGGTGGATCCAGGAAATCTGCATTGGTGCAGTTGCCCCCATCCCCGCTTTGGTTCCTGCTCCACCCAAAGTGTAAAACCGCCTGCCTGGCAGTGACAGCAGCATTTCTAGTCGGGCAATAGTGAGGAACTCAGTTGAATTGGTGGCTCACTAAAATCTACCTGTTTCCTTCTAAACTTTTCATGCCACAGGTGTTAATGACCCTCTCTCCTTTTTAATGCTCTTGCTGTTCCACCAATCGGGCTAACCTCTGTTCTGCAATCCTGCTCCTGGTGATGAAGCTCCTGTTTCACAGCCCTGCAGATTGTTTTTTAACTTGTTCCAATGCAGTTGGATCAAAGCAAAAACAAATATTTAACTGAATAATACAGCCCTAGGGCCCTAGCATAGTAGTAAAGCTTCTAGTTTCTTTTTACCTGGAGAAAGGTGTTGTGTTATATGGGAATGATGAACCATACTGCCTGCTCCTCCTCCTTCTCCCCCACTTTTCAAAATCCTAAATCTGCCTGTGTTGTAGCCCAGTGTCTCACTTCAAGTACCGGTGAAGTATCTCGACTAATACTTTGCGGGGGACAGTTGAGGGTCAAGCTGTCTGTGTAACAATTGTTCCAGCCTGCTTTGATGCAAGTCAAAACCTAGGGCAATCAGCCCCAGTCTTCTGTCTTTAGGCTTAAATTCCAACTCCAGTTCTCTTGTGTTGAGGCTGCTGTTGGGTGAAATTTTAATAAGATTTTGCAATAAATTTACACAGGGTGATAGTGCATATCTGCTTAGCCTTGGAGGGGCAGGTGGTCTAATAGAATGAACATTAGGTTGGGAGTCAGAATTTCCTGGTTTTTGCCACTGACTTTGCTTTATGAGTGCAGGCAAATTGCACGTGATCCTGTGCCTAGTGAAATCAGTAGCTGCAGAATCGGGGTTTTAATCCTTCTATATTTTCTTCCCCATCTATGAAATGGGGTGAATATTACCTGCTTTATTTTGGAGAGGTGTTAGGACTGTCTAGTGAATGATAGCAAGCACTTTGAAAATGTAAGTGTTAAGCAAATACCACCTGTTAGTAGGCCAAAACCTGTTCAGTGAAGTCACTGAAAAGAAGATCTGGCCCTCTGAGTATATCAGATAGAAAGGAAGATGAATCTGTTCTGTGATTAGTGTTACTCACTGTATAATTAAACCCTGCCTTTACTAGCTTTTTATTGGCTGGGCATAAAAAGAGAATTACAATCATTTCAGTGCTGTCACTTCTGTTTTTAGCACAGATGTAAGTGCATGGCTGCAGCAAATGATTTATACAATTTACTACTGAAAAATCAGCAGGAGAGTAATATTTTCTGTCAACATATATCTCACAGATGCGTTGGGGTAACCACCTCAACTGTGTGTTAAGTGTATTACAAAGAGAAGAAGAAGGCACTAGATAGCCCCTTTTCTGGGATGTATATTTGAAAACACATAATGGAATTACCACCTCAGGGTTTTGGAAGCTCAGTTGAGAAACATGCAGTTTTTTTTGTTTAACACCTCACAGGAGAAGCGTCTTCAGAACATGGACAAACCAGTTAATATAAACATTATAAAAATTGCACTCTTGGGATCAATATTTTCTGAATGACCAGTGGACAAGGCTGTCAAGGTGAAATCTGTAATGACCCTTTCCTCTAAGAATCTATGGATGATGATGTGATGAGGAGTGCTTCTTGAGGTGCTGTCTTTAGGAGTGTGGTGGGGGGAGAAGAAGCAGAAACATGGTTGGGTAGGCATTCTTAATAGTTTGTCGCGAAGTTTAAAATCCCAGTTGGCATGACATAAAAGAGTAACATCAAAGTTTAAAAACAATGTAGTGAAAACATGGGCATGTACTGAATCCCTTATAGTTTGGCTCTTTCTAAGGGCCCTGATAGGCATTCAAATTAAGGCTGGATAGAAACCAGTTATAGAGTCATTACACATTGTCAAGCATTAACTTTTATAGCTAGTTGGCTCTCTTTAGAGTTGGATAGTCATTTTTACTGTGTGATAATTACTTTGACCTTGTGACGATCTGTGCAAGGCTATGCATAAACTTAAAATTATATATACGCCAAAAAAATCAGTGTTCAGCACTTTGAGAAGCAGTCTTCCTTAAGGTGTCTTAAATTGGGTCCCCAAAATGTCAAAGCAGTTTTGATGATCTTGAGGACAGGTTGTGTGGTCTGGCTGTCCTTTTGCCTTTCCTATTACCCTGGTGACAAAAAGGGAGACTGGCAATCTTCAAAGCTGACTCTTGGATCCAACAGACCTCTTTAGGTTGTCATAGTTTATCAGTATGCATGACCTTAGTTTGTAACTTTAGTGCCTCTTGTGGTTTAGCCACACATGATACAGACTACAGAAGGAATTGAGCAGCTCATTAAGTGGTGGATTACTTCAGTTAAGAAAATCTCTTTGTCCTGAAGCCAGAGAAGGATTAGTTGTAGCTCCCAGTAGTTCTGATACAGAAAGAAAGACATTAGAGACTGCCACAGCTGCTGTCACTGCCACTGGTGGTTTAGCCCTTGTGCTGGTCCTTGTCATGAGGACAGAAACACTATCCGCTCCTATACTTTTCCATGTCATAGGAAATGTAGTACGTGCTTGTAATAAGTCCATCTGTTTTTGTATGGACATTAGTGTTTGGATGAAGAAAGGAGGCTGGGGGTCCTCCCTTTTGTCTGTTATTCCTTTTGTTGCTTCTTTTCCTTTGCTGTAAAATTAGCTGCACCTTTTTTCCTCAAGCATGTCAGCTCCTGATTATGGAAAACTGCATTGGAAGCATGTGTTCACAATAACTGTTCCTATCCAACACACAAAAAAACAGGAAATAGATAGCAAGCATGCTGCAGTGACCAATTTGTCACTTGGCTGCAGGTATTTTTTGGTTTCTTTTTTTTTTTTCCTTTCTCTTGAAGTAAAGAATGTGAAATAGATATAATAGAGGGTCTCTCTTCCTGATGGGTTAAAGAAATAAAAATGAGACGATAAGTAAGGTGATAAAAAGAGAGAGGATGAGAGATGACACTCAGGTTGATAGTACTCAGGCTGATAGTACCTAGAATTGTCTGTCTATGAGCTGGGTATTCTAAGTGAACAGTCTTCCACTGGGATTTACTTCCTCCTGTATCTGTTGTGGTTAACTGACATCAGGGTATGTTTCAAGATCTCTTTATTCACTCAGGTTTTTTGAAGAGGTTAGTTGAGTAGCATCTCTACATGTTGAATAGATAAGTAGATAACCCTTGAGGTCTCTTCCAACCTTGATTCTATAAGTAATATTTGGTGTGAATCATGATTCATCAGAAATGGAAATCAGTCTGGATAGCTTCAACTGATATAAATAGCTCCATAGAAATCAGTGGAGCTATGCCAGTTTACAGCTGGGAAAGATCTGGGCCTTTTACCTATGTGACCTTTTCTTAGTGAAATGGGCTAATCCTGATCTGCTTGTTCTTGCTCTGCCTTGCAGTTCTTAATCTTTGCACAAAACCTATTATACTGAAATCAATGTACATGGAGTATTAATATATATAAGCTGGAATAGTCTCATGACGTAAGATATTAATGTTGGCTGCATGCATGTGCCCACTGAGAAAATTGGAAGCCTCGCCATCACATTATCTATCCATTAGACTTTACCATGAACAAAGAAAGAACTGATAGCTGACTGCAAGGCAAAGAACATGTCTATGGTCACATCTACTAAATAGTATTTGCTTTATGTTTCAGTTGATATGAAGACCTTGTTGGCTTGTTCATCATGTAGTCACCTTTTTTCCCCCTTCCTATTCCAATGTCTTCTCTCATGTGCATAGGCACACCCATCCGTTCCTTTTTGCTTGTGTTCCATCTTCTTCATTGTCTGACACTACAGTTGCTGTGGGCTGTCAGATGACACGGCTGAAAGTTCCCACCCACAGTGTAGTGTTGAAGTACCATTAAGCATTGTAAGAAGACTCACTTCTTTCCAAGTAGCTTTCACCTTTCTTATATGTTGGTACAGGAAGGGTAACAGACATTCTGCTTGCAGTATGTCCTAACTTTCTATCTAACTGTTAGTATCAGCTCCACACCCAATGTTTTTTTTTCCACATGTAGGGAGGTGATTTGAGGAGTGTCAACCTCTTTCATCCCTTTTTCAGGAAAAAATAGTTTTTTTCATTGTAGCTTTCCCCCCGCCCCCTCCCCCCTCAGTGACCTTGTCTACCTTTTAAGCTATAACCCTCCTTTGAGAATATACACAGGGTGTATAAGTACTACTGCAGCGGTTTCCAAACTGACAGATTGTGTACCACCAATTAAAAATGATGCAACCTTCAGTACCACCAGCACATTTTTCAGTTCAACCTAAGTACCACCAACAAATCTTTGTCATATAAAGTAATTATAATAAATCTGTTAATGCATACCACTGACTGGTTGTCTGCATCCCACTGGTGGTACTAGTAGCATAGATTGGGAACTGCTGTAACTACTGTATTGTCTAAAATACAGTAGTGGCCTGAGCTTGTTGCTCCAAATACAAAATTCTCTGTAGTTAAAAATATAAGGAAAGCTTCTAAGCACAGATGTGCAGCTGAAGTTTGTTCCTATTTCCATCTGTTTGAGAGTGTTAGCCAACTAATGTTGGTCCCGCGCTAATATGACAGGTCTATTGTCTTTGGGAGCAGGTATTCGTATTCCTTTTCCCCTCGCACCCAGCGATGATGGCTCTTCTCCATATCTCAGAGACATTGGAAACTGAGTGATTTAATCATGTTGTGAGGAAAAGAGAAATCTTGGACAAGTAATTCCCTCTCAGTGATTGTCGTTCTGAAGTGACAACTCAAGGTGGGGGGGAATAATTTTTTTTCCTGTTGTAAAGAACATTAACTTAGTAAAAGCAGAGATGGAGGGAATAAATCATGCTGAAAAATATTGATAGTTCGGTCTCCTTTTGCTTGGGTTTAGTTAAGCATTAGCTCTGATTTATGTGATTAAAAAAAAATAAAATTATGGCCTTTGACTTGCTTCTGTTTCTTAGTCCTTCAGATCCCAGTTTGGCAAAGGGAAAAATGAAAAAAGAGCAAGTAAGTGTTGTTCAGCATCATAGGTCATTTAAGGGGATCACACAGGTCCTGTGATCCCAGGAGAAAGATGGTGGGCAGAGGGCCCAGAAACCCAGAGTGTTTTCAGGGTTAGGCCTCTGGGGGATAAGAGGTGACATGACTAGGCAACTGAGGCAATCGGGATGGGAGGGGTGTTTATATAGCACAAAGCTGATTGGAGAGGTGTTGATTATTATGGATTCTCTGACTTCTGTCCAATTTGGCAGTGAAACAATAAGCGTTAGACTTATTTTTGCTTGAGAAACCATTCTGACCAAGCCAGTCAGTAATTGGGTTACTTGTTTAGGCTCTTGCATTGGGCCGCCATTCTGAGTGGCACAAATCACATCGCTTTTCAACATGCTCGCAGTTGTCAAGAAGAGCCTTAAACACTAATCCCTGATGAAAAGTGTTTCATAACTTTTAGGGCTTTCAGATTGCTGGAGTGAGCAAAACGGGTAGAGTTTTTCCTTTAAATAGCTTTGCTAGAGAGGTTGTTGATGCTGTTGTGATGACATAGGGGTGTTACTAAGGCAGTAGGAAGTCCCTGCTGACTTGTCATTGATGGTGGTATGCTCTGCATGTGCTTGCAGGAGAGTGGAGCATATAGTCTGGCTACCTTGTTTTTAGCTGTTTCAAAGGATTTGGTGTTAGTGGTAGATTTTCAGGTGGGTGGCTTCAAAGTGGCAGAGAGTAAGGTTTAGGACTGCGGCGTGCATTTTTCTTTCTTTCTTTTTTCAATGTGTGCTTCCTTTGCGTGTGCTGGTTGCAGTTCCAAAGTGAAGAGGCTTCTGAAAGAGTGGGGAGGGGCAGCGGCCCAATGTTTACGCTGTCTGAACCCACGTGTACTCGGAGCTGGCCCTTACACTAACCTTGAAACTTGCAAGTTAAAGAAAGTCCTGTAACTGAGAACAGCAAGAGCTGATAGGAACGCTGCTGTGAGCATGTAGGTCTGGGAGGGGAAAATGCAACTGGGTGACTTTCATCAGTTCTCGCTCGCACAAGTAGCGGCTGTTTACAGTGATTTCTTGTACTGGCTGAGCATGGCCTGAATGACAGTAGAGCTGCAGTCTGACTTGCATGCTTCTGCTTTAACTGCTAGAAGATCCATTGGATTCCCCTCTTTACCCCCAGTTCTTTCTCTGACTTGCTCTCCGACTTTAGGCAAATTACTCTACGCTCGTCTGTGCTTCCCCACTGAATAATTAAGGATAACACATACAGTTACAGCAGGGGACTTGTGAGGCCCTCTTCATATTTGTGAAGCACTTTTGAGGTGACTCTATGAAAACAAATATTTCATCATCGTCACTTCTTACCCCCTCGCCCCATGTGGGAAACCATTCAAAGTGCCGCCTGCCTGAAATATTGCAGATGAGGAAAGTTGCAAGGAGAAACATGGGTTTTTTAGATTGCTTTAGAATAGACAATAGTCTGCTATAGTAGTATGCTCCATCCTGTATGCAAATCGAACATTGCCAAATTGAGTTACTGCAAGACATCTGTATTTGATACTATATTTCTTTCTCGCAGATTCTGCCTGGCTTGTTCATTGGCAACTTTAAAGGTAAGATTAGTTTTATGGTTATAATTTAGGATTATTTTAACGGTTATGGGCCTGAAGTATCGTCTAACAGCTGGACCGCTTCTTTCACTCTCTTAATCCATTTCTGAATCCACCTGCTGGAACTGAAAAGGACAACCAGTTTACTCAGTCTTCTGCGCAGCACAACTGTAATATTAAAAAATATTGAATATTAAAACAGACAGTTTAACGGGGACATGCGTCATCTGGAATCCCTAAATATTGGCCTATGCTGTAAACCAGTCCTGCCTTACCAGGCTTGTATGTGGGCAATGCAGATTTTTTGTAAGAAGTATTTCAAGCCCTCCTCTTTAGTAGCTTGCTGTCCCACCAGTGCTTGCTTTCATTGTTCAGGTTATTTATGACACCTGTTAAGGACCCCTATTATTATTGCTTGTGAAACCGAGAGATCTGTAGAGGGATGTCTGAATCACAGTACCCGCACTGTCCATGTTGCAGACTTAGATCTGTTCTTGTTCTTGTGTGTGTGTTTGTGAAGGGAGGAGGGGGAGGGGTGCCATTCAGCTTTTTATCTGGTATTTTCAGACCCAGATTCTGAAGAAAACTAAGGTTAGGATTTAAAAAAAAAAAAAGGAACATACAGCTGGCTTTGAATCTATATTTAGGTATCTGAATATATGGCCTGTTTTTCAAAACAGCACTCAGTAGCTCCAGTTGACTAGTAACTTAGAGTGTAAGTGGGTTGGGACAGCGGCCATCTTTTAATTGCACATGTTTTCTGAGCCTGTCACAATGGGGACCTTGATGTCTGATGAGCCTGCAGATGGTCCTGCAATCGTTCTGGTGATATGTAACTAGCATTGACTACAGCTAGTCATAGTTGTGAGCCACAAGTATGGTGCTGGTCAGGGATCTCCTGATCTGTTACATGCCTGAGCAGGTTTTTCCTCTCCATTTCACACTTACCTGGCACTGCAATATTGTTCTTCGCTTTCTCATCTCTCGTGCAGTGTCTGGTGGCCTGGGCATAGGTCAGTGTATTCTGTCTGCCTGTGGAGGGAGCATTCCATGATACCACATTGCTTTCGCAGCAAATCAGTGTTTTGCTGCCCTCTCTATGTGGAGAGAGATGTCATGTAGAGCAGGGGTGGCAATTATTTTGGCTGGAGGGCCAGTTTTGGTGAGCTGTTGCAGGTTAGGGGCTGGGAGGGTTGCTGGCCTGGCCCAGGGTATGAGGGGGCAATTGATCCTATCTGGCCCAGGCTCACCTGCCCCGTACCTACTGCCAGGGGTGCCAGACGAAATAGGCAGGCAGGGTCTTGGAGACCATCGGGATCACCCTGAGCAGGGCATGCTCAGCTAGGTGGATGGGATGGGGTTGCAGGCAGGTGAGGAGTGGGGTAGGTGGATGGCAGTTGGGTACCAGGGTTGCGGGGGGAGGCGATAGTGTGGGCCCAGGGCAGAGCAACGATCTGCTCCTTGCATATTCCTGCAATGAGCACCAGTTCTGTGGGCAGGGACATGCGGGGAGTGACAGCCTCGGCTCTGTGCTGTCACCACCCCATGATCTCGCTCCCAGACACCACTCCCTGACCGCTTGCAGCCCCATCCCATCCACCTGACTGAGTTGCATCCTGCCTACGGAGGTCCTTGGCCAGTCTCCATGGAGATCCTGCCTGCGCACCCACCTGCTCTGTCCTGTGCCCCCGGCAGTGGGTGTGGGGCAGACAGGCCGGGGTGCCCAGACAGTGGCACTAGCTGTTGGCAGTGAAGACACTAACAGCAGCAGACTGAAGGAGCTGCTGCTGTGGGGGCTGCTGGGAGGTGGAGTCCAGCCACCACACCATCTCTACCCCTGCTCTGCCACTCACCTGTGGGTGGGGGACTGGCCACAGCCGCCACGGCCTAAGCTGCTCCGCGTGCCTGGGCCAGGCAGGGTCCAGGGACCTGCTGCAGGCCAGATACATCCTGTGGACCAGATTCAGCCCACCAAGGGATTATGTTTTGCTCACCCCTGGTATAGTGTCTCAGGAACCAGCCCTGGTCCATAAGTCAAACTTAAGAGGTGCTCTAGTGCTATTCATAGTTGAGGATGCTGTGGATGGTGCTGGAGCATCTGGGGAGACCGGGGGGAGTTGACTGTGTCAGCTTTATGGGTAGTAGGGGGAGAGACATGTAAAGATGCACAAAGGTGAGGTTAGGATGAGGGTACATGAAACAAAAGTGGGAAACAAAGAGAAGAAAATGAGAGAAATGGAGTACAATCAGTGACAAGTTTTATTTTGAGCTGTACTCCCTATCTGTACCTGGCCACATATCATGATGAGAAGAATAAGGAATAAAGTGGGAGTGGAGGGAGATGACTTGATGATCTGCTCAGGTCCCTTCCGATCCTACCAACTATGAATGTTACCTCGTGTTTCACTTGCAAATATTCCCAGATTGCTTCAGCATTTCAAAAAGCAAAGGACATGGTCCCTTCAAGTTGCCCTGAGTGCACAGAATACGAAACTGTCGCCATTCTCATGCCAGCCCTGGTGGCAAACTTTTGACAGTACGCCCAAGAGAGTGAAACTCGGATGCAGCATCTGTTTCTCAGCATGGTGCTGTTTTTGTCTCCCATGCAGCAAGATGAAGGGGAGTTGGTCATGGTTGCAGACTGAGTCAGCACCTCAGCCCAGATTAGGTTTTAGAACCCTCCTAGCTCTTGGAGCAGAATGGTTATTGCAACATGTCTTGCAAAAGGGGCTATTAATGGTATGTCAGATCATGTCTAGCTTGATAAAGTTGTGGCATTAAGGAAGATGCGGTGAGCACTAGCATTTTTGGCTGAAAATAAACTGAAGCTGAAGTGTTCAGCTGCTTCATGTAAAAGAGGGAAGGAGAGGAGCGGGTGTCAGTCTAAGTCAGATTGACCGAGTGCTTCAAAGACTGCATTCACTGAAGTTAAAATTCACACCCTTCATTTTTTTTTAATGGCCCTTGCTCTCTCTATGTAACCTATTCTCTCTCTCTCTACCATCACACCATTCTGTCAAATAGAAAATTGATCTGTTGAGTTAGCTATGTGCCCGGAGTGGGAGAGAGCGCTAGCCATTGCTAGTAGGACACTCTTATTAAGAAGTAAACTTTAGGTAGAGAGATTATTATTAACTTTCCTAATAGTAATAGTGATGGGCTGTCAATATTGCAAAGCAATCCACTGTTCAAGCAAGGCAAAGATCAGCCGACTGCTGTCATAATTCCAAGAGAGAGTCAATGGCTGTGTCCTTCTGCTTGTCTTTTGTTTGTTGTCATTTGCAAGGCCAGAGAGATGGGACAAAACTTTCAAAAATGCCTGATGGAGTTTTGAATCTTAGCTTGAGACATCCCAAAACAAGACTGGAATTCTGAGAGCTGGGACTTGGTGATTTCTGGTATTCAAAAAGGGGGGTGCCCAAATTACTCATCACTTTTGAAGGTCTTGGCCATAAAGCTACAGTATTTTGGGGGTTTAGTAAGTGATCTGATGTTTGAAACAGCTGGCATATCACCTTGAGCGTATATCAAGGTTACAAGGTGAATACGGTGGTCCTGTTAGTAATTGCCTGGGAAACCATCAACGAAACTGAGGTGTTATTGGAAGTGATATTGGTGACTTGGGGATGCATTCCCCTTCCAAATTACTACAAATCCAGCAGAACAGGATGTTGGAGGATGCTGTTATTGTTGCTCTGGTTTCATCCTTTGGAATGGATGTTAAGCTAATCTCCCGATTGCAGGCTTTTCCACCAGAATAGTGCTTATTTATTGTATATAGATAAAATACTTCTTTACAGATTTCTAAACTCCAGTAAATTCAGAATGCCCACAGGAGATGAATCTTTATATGTGTGTAGTGTTTGGGTAGACTAAGGCACAGGTTACAAATGGCGGGGCCCTGTGGCGGGGCTTGGGACCAGGACTCAAGAGTCCTGCTTTTTAAAGCATTTTGGATCCTTTGGGATAGAGAGTTCAGTGAACTTACTTAGGTGTAAGTTCACACCTGAGTAAGTTCTTGAATTCCATTATAGGCCATACTGTGCCTTCCTGGATGGGATTGAGTAGATCCCATTAATTGTCTTTTCTTAGCCAAGTCGAATACTGCACACTTGCGGTTCATTTTCATATAATGGGCTTTCTCTGTTGGAATGTTTGGGGGCTTTGCTTTTGTAGCAAGAGGCAGGAAAATGAGGTGTTTGGAGATGAATTGGTATCTCTGCAGAATGTTGCTGTTTGCTAGTAATCCATTATAGCTGTACTACGGAGGTACAAAGTTCATCTGAAAGCATACAGTACGTAGGCTGAGAATATCAAAACCCACTGCCCTTCCTGTGGAATAGAAAAATATATTTTTGCATACTATCTTCTGGGTTTCAGCATAAATTCCATAGGAGTGACATGGGTTGGAAAGGGAGTGGAAAAAAATGCAAGTCAAAATCAAACCTTCCTCTCCGTTCTGATTTCAGAAAATTTCGGCCTGTCAGTTTTTTTTTTTTTTTTCTCCTTCCAAATGGAAATCAAAGCCACTTGCTACAGTGAGCTGGTTGCAGGATAGAACTGTCAGTCGGCTGCTGGGGGATGAAAGCTCCATATACTTCTAATTCCCAGTATAAAAAGAAAGCCTTTTGCAAGGTCACTGAGAGCTCTTTCCTCTTGTCAGAAGAAATTTCTTGATTTCCAAATAGATCAGTTGAACAGCAGGTCTCTCCCCACCTCCCCCCTGCTCCTTCCTTTGCCTCTTTCTGTGCAGGAAGAAAGGAAACATTTTGGGGATTGCAGCATAAAATATCTGTAGGATCATTTATGTACAATTGATTCCAAAGAGCCACTTGTAACTTTTATTAGTTACAAGTCATGCTGTCCTGCAACCCTGAATTCGAAGCAGCTCATGTCCTTTCTGCTTTAAAGACTGTGTGAAAGGTTCAAGTATTTCCAATGGAATATTCAGGGGGTTTTTTATTCTAAGGGGAAAGCCACAATCTGAGGCTTAATTCCCCCAA